TTCAAATAAAAAGAATCAATTATGTAATATTACAATTGTAAGTTTACAATATTAAGTAGTATTATAATTATATCATTTTCAATGTTGAAGTAACTAAACTTCTATTGATAATTTTATAGAGAGATGGTTAGGAGCAAGGTTCAAAAAATTAAGATTTCAGGTATAATTGTTTTAGTTAAATAAAATCAAAATTATAAAATTGAATCAGTAAAATGGAGATTTACTAAATTAATTAAAAACTTATATATTATTAAAATTTAACATCAAATATTCAAATTTGAAATTTATTTAAGAATTCTAACTACTAATTAATTATTTTAAGTCTTGATTGAATATTTTTTTATTTTATAATTATTAAATTATTTCAAATTTTAATGATTTTGACCTTAAACCAAAAATTGTTAGTTTAGCTTGTAAAAAAATAATGAAATCTTGATATTTTTTTCCTGAAACCAAACTGCCCATTTGAAAGTAGCTAGCGTATTTCCACTACTACACTAATTAGGGGTTCTAACATAAAAATATATAAAACCTTTAAAATTTGTCACAATCAAATTTAAACTCAAAATTTTATGAGTTTATTACGATTTTACCTTAATTTTATAAAATTTTGGTTTTTACTCTGATTTAACTCAATTTAGATATCTAAAATTGTAAAATTGAAATTTTATCAACCATGTTTAGGAACCATCAATAGAACTTTGATACAAAATTAAAAAATTAAAAAGGATAAATTTATTGATAAAATAAAAAAAATTAAATCTACTAACAATTTAAACCATAATCGCTATTCATTGGTTTTAAATTGTTAAATAGAAATGTTTACTATAAACACCTAATTTACTGTAGTTTTAAAATAAATAAGTTTACTAGATATCTATTCTACTGTGATTTGAACAAAACTATTAACCACTATTCCAAACTACTATGCCAAACAAGCATTAAGAACATTCTCAATTATCAAACTTTTACATTCAATTATCCCAAAAAAAATGTTAAGTTCATGTTTGAATGGTAGTATAATCAAACACTTAAAAGAAAACTAAATTTTTTTTAAAAAAATAGGAACTACAAATATTGGTATCAACAGTAATAATGTTATAATACCATGTAAAATTATAAGTTTAATATCTTAATGTGTCATTAAATAAGTAGATCCATATAATATTATAAATAAATTTTCAAATGAAAAGAGCTAGTTACGTTAGGATTATAAACTTATAATACCAAATAACATTATAATTATATTATTTTTGATATTGGAATAGCTAAA